TTTGGGGATAACAGATAAATGGGATTGCTGGTAGTAACCAAATACAAAACAAGATTGAGCACATTTGGACAAACCTTGCACTATCACATTTAACATCACTTCCGGTATTAATAAATCTTAGTTTAAGCACACTTTCTGGTACTTCGCGGCCTGTAAACAGCTCTTAACTGCCGGGAATGTGTGAAGTCTAGAATGTGTGAAGCGTTCAAGGGGAGTGAAAATCTGTCTTTTCATACAAACTTTATTTATCCAGGAAGCAAAAACTTTTCAGATGTTAGCACATTTTTCGATGGTGGGAAAACCCAGAGGTCTCTGTCATGCACATTTTCTTACCGAATATTCTCGCTGGGCGCGCTGCCGAGCTTCTTGATGGCGCCACACTCCTGCTTGTGCTCGTTCCAGCACGCGGTCTGGCAGGTTCGGTCGCAGTAGTGGGCAAACTTGCACTGAGCGCAGCGGTGCAGATTGGCCTGATGGCGGAAGCAGCTGTGGCACACCTGGGTGGCCAAACTGAAAGAGAAACACAGACAGGTTAATGGTAAAATCACAGAGATGAGGAGTGCTCCTATGTTCAGAGAATAATGAAAGTGTGTAGCTGTTTTTCTAGTTTCCCTGATTCTCATTTCTTTATCATTCTTTTAAACCTCACAGAAGTTTGCAGGTCTGTGTGTAAACTATTTATTTAGCCCTCTGTGCCGGTCCAAAACAACGCCAAGCAGCCTTGTTAATGCCTCTCACCACTTACAGCGTCCTCAGTCTCTTTGTAGTTTTGGACAGCTCCCACCTTACACTGTGCAGAAACCCTCAGTGCATGCCTGCTTCGGTGAGCTGCCGTCTTGCAGATACGAGCTCTTATAAGGCTGTAACACTAACACTGCTACCAGATCTGTGTCTGGTATTCTAGCACATCAACAAACCAGCGTTCCCTTTAATACCAGCTGATTTTAGCCATCAGAAAATCATTACTAACCAAAGCAAACATGTAGAACGCTCAAAAAAATCAGGAATCAGCTCCCGCCTGATCCTGAGATCCAATAACTTTAGTTCATTTAACAAAGGCATAAAATTTTTACCTTCTTGTATGAAATTACAGTTGCAGGCCCTCATCATAATATCTCATAGTTTCAATAAAGATCAAAGATTTCATGTCCTCGTAGAGGAACAGAAAAAACAAACTAGTTCTCTGGATGTTTGTTTTCCAATAATTTGCTGGATAAATCTTCAAAACAAGGAAATTTTTGCTTTTTTACCTACATTTGGACACAAGAGTCATTTTCTATGTCAAAAGGTCAACTGTCAACTTTGGCACCAAAAAAACAAAACCAAGCTTGAACGACTTTAAACTCAGATGGCTGCAACTTATTCAAACCACTGAAACCAGCAAAGCAGACCACATCAATCCAGTTCTTAATGACGTCGCAATGGCCTCCTGTGTGTCCCAGTTTGACTTTTGCTGCGTTGTCAAACATCTATCCCTCTCAGATTTTCGGGGACAGGTCTGTTTTCTGTCTCCAGAGGCCAAACTAAACAGTGAGAATCAACCTGCAGATCACTGCATACCTGAAACCAACCACAATGTGCTTTTTTATATTCCATATGTGATGCTAAAAGGCGTTACACTCTTAAATCTGATCTTATATTAATAAAACCTGAACGTTAAACCTTGTAAAGGTGCCATAATCCTTTCTGCTGGAGCCTCCTCACATTGGATCCAGAACTATGTCACGCTCAAGTACATATGACACCTCGATGGCCTTCGTGTTGCTGATGTCATAGAATTCAGAGGTCTAGAAGGAAGGTCACAACCCTGAGATGGTGACCAACGCCCACAGTCTGAGTACACCTGAGACGTGTTCATGCAAAACCCAGAACGACCAGGCGTACCTGTCGAAGACCACAGCTGCAAAGCTGGGCTCGGAGAAGATCACTTCCCCCGTGTTGAGCTCTTTGGCAGCCCTCAAGCCTCGACCTTTGCTCCCGGCATCAAACAGCTCAGCTCGCTCCATGTTCCCTACAGTCATTGTGCCAGGCAAACAAAACACAGGGGAGACAGTGAGGAAGGAGAAAGCAGCCGAGGGCGGGACAGGCTGAGGAAGTGCAGGACTCTCACTAACATTCGGGTGCCCTCTCTCTCTCCTCTTAGGCCGACCCCTGCAGAGGCCAAAAATAACCCTGAAGGGGTTGAACCACCTCAGCAGAGCGGTAAGAGAGGGAGGGAGGTGACGGAGGTATGAGGTGGTGCATGTGGGTACCCCTTGTTTGGGTCGGTTCCCCCAGTGGTATTTTGGTCCGGGGCAGCTGTGGCTGTCTGTCAGAGGCACATGACAGGAAACAGATTCAGTGACTTTATCTTTGCTTTTTACAGTAGAGTGGAGGTGACTGCACCCAGTTTACACTCATTAAAACATAAAAGAAGATTTTAAAGTCTTCTTTTATGAAATACATAGAAATAAAGTCACTTTAGTGTTAATTTTCATTGGAAAACAGACAGAAATACAAAGCCATGCTTCATATTTAAAACAATAAATTACATTATTCCTGTTTTAAAGTCACACCATCCACAAAGTGATGAGTCTGAAATAACTGCTGACCCAATAACCAATAAAGTGTATATCAGTCATGCTGACTGGTCACATGTGCAATTAAAAGCATTAAAAGATTCAGGACCAGTAGCGAAGAGGCAGAGCCAATGAGAAAGTGAATCCAGGTGTGAATTGTTTCATGCTGTGGATGCTGCACGCTCAGCACCAGTATGAAGAAAACATGTATAAATGATATTTCCAGTAAATGTACATTGGTT